TTTTTAAAAAAAGAAATATTATTGATTAACAATTGCACAAGTTACCTTCCTAAGACTGCATCTGGCTTGTTATTATTTTTATTTATTTTTGTGTGTGTGATCCCAGAGACTGACACTAGTTGTCTTTTTCTGCTGCTGTCTGCGTTATCATTATAGTTGTTGGTGAGTTGTTTTGTCTTGTTTTTGGCAGGGTTTCCTATGTAGCCCTGGCTGACCTGGAACTCACTCTGCAGACCAGGCTGACCTCAGACTCACAGATCTACCTACATCTGTCTCCCAAATGCTGAAGTTGCTGGTGGCTAGCACGATATAGCACCACGGCCAGATTCCACCTTAGTTTTTGAGACAGTCTCTCACTTAACCTGGTGCTTACTGGCTGGCTGGACTGACTTGTCAGCAAGCTCTGGGGAATCTACTTGGCTCCACCCCTGTACTTCACTTTAGGATTACTGGCAGGCTCCCCAGCTCTTAAAGGGGTGCTGAGGACACAAGCTCAGGTCCTCGTGCTGGTCCAGCGAGTGCTCTACCCGGTGAGCACCTCCCCAGCTCCTTGTATGTTTAGATGTCATTTGATGATGATGATGGTGATGATGGTGGTGGGAGCCCTATGTGCCACAGGACAAGTGTCTCTTCAGAGTCGGTTCTCCCCTCCCACTGATCTCTAGATTTACAAAACAAGCACCTACATTCCTACATTCACTGACTGAACCAGGTCCCCTTTATCTATTTTGTGAAACAAGGTTGTCCTGCATTCCAGACTGGCCTTGAACTCAATATGTATCAGAGAAAGATCTAGAACTTCTAATCCTCCTGCCTGCACATCCTGAGTGGATATCATAGGTGTACATATTGATGGAGTGGGAAGTAGGGAAATGCAAGCCCTATTTGTTAGACAAGCACAGCTAAGTTACATTCTCCCCAACATCTGCCTTTTAGCGTGTGTGTGACGGGGTGAGGGGTTGAGCACGTGTATGCCTTGCGGTGGCGGGGGATGCAGACACACAACTCACGGCACGTATACCTTTCCACCTAAGACAGGGTCTTTTCACCATTGACAATACCAGACTAGCTGGCCTGGGAGTTTCTGGGGATTCCCCTGCCTCTGATCTCTCCACAGGGTTGGGCTAGGATTACTGGTGCTTCTGTTTCTGTGTCTCATCTCACAGGGGTTCTGGAGATAAGAACTCAGTTCGTCAGGCTTTCGTGGCAAGAGCTTTTATCCACCGAGCCACACCCCCAGCACCACTTCTGCCTTTGCTTTTGTGTTTTTGTGTTTGAGACAGGGTTTCTATTGGCTGTCCTGGAACTCCCTTTGTAGACCAGGCTGGTCTTGAGCACGTAGAGATCAGCCTGCCTCTGCCTCTGCCTCCTGAGTGCTGGAATTAAAGGCATGTACCACCACTGCTTGGCTAGCACATCTACTTTTTAATAAATAAGGGTCATTAATACCTTTACCCAAAGCAGCAAATAATTATGCCATAATTTAATAGATATTTAATAGATATTCATAGAATGAGTATGATGTTAACTAAGCATGGGACCCTGTCTCCAAAAAAAGAAAAAAAAAAATTTAAAAGAAAAAAGTGGGAAGAATGGATTTCAGACACGGGCCAGGAAGCAGCTGAGAATGTTTACTTGACTGGAATGTATACTTCTGCACACTCGGCCAATCACTCAGTTCCTGTGAATGTATAGGTGTGTGTAAAAATGAACACAGGAAAAATAAGGCTGGAAAGATGGTGGGGAGCGGGCTGTAGAAAGCCCTGAGCCTAGCAGCAATCGCTAATAGTTTTCCTCTCCCCCCCACCCCCCATCCCCGTTCCCACACAGCCGCCAGAGTGGTTTTTCTGCATTGCAGATCTGATTAAGTCCCTTTTTTCATCCATGACTGTTCAGGCATTTTCAGTTGAAGATAGTGTTCAAGCCGCCTAGCGTCATCTGCAAGTCTCATCCCCTTGTGTCTGCCTGCCATCTCAGTGAACCTTTGTAGCTTCTTAAATGCAGAATCCCCTCTGCATTCCTCTCACCTCATATATCTCTTAGCAACAATCCCATAATTTACCCCTCTCATCCAGATAGCCAATTGTCTTGTCATTACTTTGCAAATTTATTATTCTTTGTCTAAAGAATATAAAAGCACTGTGCTTTGGGCATTTCTTCAGACTTCATTCTCTTGCAAAGATCCCCATATACATGTAAATTTAATAAAACTTTATGCTTTTTCTCTTATTAATCTATTATCTCTAATACTAATTGGGTCCCTAGATCCAGCCAAGGAGCCCACATAAGAACTAAGAGGGGATCGAGAGGGCCTTTTTCCCCTCTATGCTCATGAAGGTGGTAAGTGATGGAGTCACGTACGTCTAACCACAGATCCAACATTCTTCCAGCTTCACTGTCCTATCTTCTTCATACAAAGAACTGTGTCTAACTGATGAGAATAGCCCTGTGGACAATTAAAGAACAATGAAGTACTGAACAATGTCCATGGTATTGAATGGAAGAGCAAAGGGGGGTTCAAGAAGGGAGAGCACACCATTTGGGCTGGCTTGGCTGAAAGAAAAAAAGGGGGGCTCAGAACCAGCCTTTGAACAGAGCCTGGAGGAAGGGTAAGGCAGAACCAGGGTGGTTGAGAGGATGAAATGGCAGATGAGCAGGATGATACATAAGTGAGAGAGAAGGAAGGGGATGGAGTCCCTGTGAGGTTTTCTCCATCGAGAGTGAGGCTGGGGAGCCTTGATCCCAGCAAGGAGGCAGAGGCAGACGAATGGCTGAGTTCAAGGCCAGCCTGGTCTATATAGTAAGTTCCAGGACAGCCAGAGCTACACAGAGAAACCCTATCTCAAGAAAGAAAGAGAGGAGGGGGGAACAAAGGAAGTGAGGCTGGGGTACAAGACAAGTGGATTGTTTGAAGGGCACATAAAGAAACTTGGTGAGAAAATAGATCAGGAAAGAGGGCGACAAAGATGGAGACCACAAGTCTCGTCTAGTGAAGATGTTCCTGGAGGTAGACCTATGGTAGAGTCAAGTTCTGCCCTTACCTCTGTGCTGTGGGGGAGTGGAGGGGGGTACTGCTAGTGTGGATGATTCTACTCAATGTCCTATTCAGAGAGGGTCTTCGAGGAGGGAAAGAAATAGCCACCTGTCTGCTCAGCCAGTCCCTGTTGCTGTATCTGTCTGTCTGTGAGTCTTTCAGTGTGCAGGCTGTGATCATGGTGTTCAAGAAAAAGGGATTTTTTTTTTAGACATGAGCCCTGGACATGCAGCCTAATATAGACTAGCTTATTCTGCTGCAGATTGAAAGAGGGTATCAGAGGAAAGAGAGAGGAAGAGATGGGAGAAGAGAGAAGAAAAATGGCAACCATTATTTGCCATGCTGGAGAAAATTTGAACTTTGACTTTTGCTTTGTTTTGTTTTTAGATCTAAACCACTTGTAATATAAAACCCTATTGCAGCTGGGAATGGTGGCTCATACGAGTAATCCCAGCACTTGGGTGTCCAGAGGCTCGCTGCAAACTCAAGGTCAGCCTGGGCAACATTGTGTGTTCCAGGTCAGCATGAGCTACGTGGTTTTTTGTTTGCTTGTTTGGTTTGGCTTGGTTTGGTTTTCTTGAGACAAGGTTTCTCTGTAGCTTTGGAGTCTGTCCTGGAACTAGCTCTTGTAGACCAGGCTGGCCTCGAACTCACAGAGATCCACCTGCCTCTGCCTCCTGAGTGCTGGGATTAAAGGTGTGCACCACCACCGTCCCACTCAGCATGGGCTACAAGTGAGAGCTTCTTTGAAAAAAAGAAAATTCAAAACCAAAACAAGTAACACCCCCACACACAGACTAAAAAGCCTTCGGTTGAGAAGGAAACTCTCAACTCATACTAGCTTAAAACAAGGAAAACATTGGTTTATGTGGAAGTCCAGGTATGAGATGGTTTTCAGGTAAGACCTGATCTGTGGTACCAATTTATTTATTTATTTATTTATTTATTTTTCTGTTTTTGACCAGGGGATGGGGTCTTAGTAACAGCCCAGACTGATCTTGAACTCACTATGTAGCCAAGGATGACCCTGGACTTAGGCATATACCCCAATTTATGTAGTACTGGGGAGTTAACCCACAGCTCTGTGTGTGCTAGGTAAGTGCTCTGCCCACTGAGCTACCCAGCCCCATTTTGCATATTCTGTCACCACTATTTGGAAGAGTTAGCCTGTAGATGAGTGCAAACCACTGATGCGGTCCATTGCTCTCACTTTACCAGGAGAGCAACTGGAGCCTGCCAAAAAGAGCAGCTTTGCCCAGAATTGTACATCTTCATTAATGCTGAGCCAAGACTAAAAAGACAGTGGTCGGGCCAGTGCCCACTCTCAACTAACGAGGCTCTGTGAAAGACATTTGGTAGTGAGTTTATGTCAGGCAGTGCTGTGACGGAAAGGAAAATATGAGGCGGTCAGGACCGGCATTAGGGCCACATGGGTGGGTAGACCTCTACAGGTCAGGACCATCCCCTACAACATCAAGACTGGAAGAGGTGGAGGCCAATTGCTTGGCTCTTCTCCTGCAATGTAACAGACATGCAGAAAACCTGTTGCAAGTGTTAGTGTCTCTACTGCTGCATTAGAACACCATGACCAAAAGCAACTTGGTGAGAGAGGGGTTTATTCCAGGTTACAAGTCTCAGGTCCATCATCAGAGGAAGTCAGAAAGCTTCTGGAGGCAGGAACTGAATCAGACGCCATGGAGGGGTACTGCTTCCTGTCTTGCTCTTCGTGGCTTAGTCACACTTTCTTATAGCACCCAAGATGACCAACCTCGGGGTGGTACTGTCCTCAGTGAGCTGGGCCCTCCTATATCAATCATCAATCAAGAAAATGAACCACAGGCTCGCCCACAGGCCAGTCTGGTGGGGGCAGTTTCTCAACTGAAGTTCCCTCTTCCCAAATGACTCTGACTGGTGTCACAGTGACATAAAACTAGCCAGCACACCAAGGGGAGAGTGGAGAGGAGGAGGCTGGAGCTGGTCAGACAGCGGCACAGGGAGCCCGGGAGTAGGTAGGATCAGGGTGAGCAAACTATGCTATTCTCTTCTGCCCCTCAGTATTTGTGTCTCGGGTGGAGGAAACCTTGGGAAAGCAGACCCAGGCTTTTCCAAAACCAGAGAGGGGAATGGGGAAAGGGAAGGGATCCCACAGTGACAGAAGGCATTTGAGGGAGGAAACCTGCTAAAATCCATCTGCCGCTTCAAACTCCAACTAGCCAATAAAGAAATCTGTTTAGCTGATGTTGCCATGCCCTGACACATCCCTCTGGGGCAGCAGGGAATCCGATCTATGAGATGACATCCACTTGTCCTCATTCCTCTCACTGAGCTTTAACTTAACTTGTATTCTCTTTGCCTTAGTGAGACCTCTGCCACCGTGAGGCAGCCCTGGGTGGGGGGATTCGACAGCTCTGCCTAGGCCTAAGCTCTCCTGGGACCTCTGCTTATACAGGAGAAAGAACAGAACAGAAAGAAAAGAAAAGAAAAAAAAAGAAAAGAAGTCGGTACTCCGCCCTCTGGACAGCACAAACCAACACAATGCATTCTTGTTCTCTTTGCTTCCATCTCCCTCCCTTCCTCATCTCTCTCTTCTCCCCATCTCTCCTTCTCTGTCATCTCCCTACATCAGCACCCCTGCCCTCAGGCTTGCTAAACTTTCCGGTCCTGCTGAGATACTTGTGTAGCCAAGTCAGCCAGCCAGCCCAAAGGTACACCCTTCTACCACCATCTTCTCACCAAACCCACCACCAGCCACCTTCTCTGTCCAATAGGCTTCTCAGGATGGATGTCACTCGCCTGCTCCTGGCCACCCTAGTGGGCTTCTTATGCTTCCTTACCGTCTACAGTCACCTGGGACCCGAGGAGACGCTCAGCGATGACCGGAGTCTGAGAAGCAACTCCTCTGTGAACTCGTTGGATTTCTCTTCAGTTTCGATAGTGGGTAAGTAGCCTGGCCTGGGACCCAGCCTCTAGGTTCTGACCCATGAGAGCAGGGACAGCATGTTAAGCCTGTTGTCCAGGCTGCTACTGGCATAGCTATGGCTTTATCTTGATCAGTCTTAGTGAAATACAGTAGCCTTGAGTCCTTGGGTTTGGGAAAGCTCTGCAGGCCACTACATTTAGTGTGTCAGAGATCTGAAGAAGCCTCACATCAAGATGCTTGGCGGACTTGGTCTAACTTAGCATTTATAAAACTCCTCAACAAAGCAAATGTTAGGAAAACCATGGAGTAGAACTAAGTCTGCAATAAACCAGTCCTGCATAGGCTGGGAAGTTACAAGGAGCACCGAAGTCTGGCATTGGAGATTTGGTGGATTGACCTCACCTAATCATAAAGCACATGGGCTAAGGATGCAGCACAGGTGGCAGAGCACATGCTTATCATGCATGTCGCCTACATTCAGTTCCTGGAACCAAAATAAAAGCAAATACACATAGGTTCTGTGAAGCGGCTCTTGGCTTTATTTATATTTTACCGCTGACGAGACTGGAGCTTACAGACATTAGTTCCCACTAGGCAGAGCCAGAACTCAAACAGGCGAATTATACATGTGAGCTCACAACTCACTGGGCACAACGAGGGTCTAGAGCAGCCATTCTCACCCTTCCTAATGCTGCAACCCTTTGGTGCAGTTCCTCGTGTTGCTGCGGTGACCTTCAGTTATCGTCATTGCCCCTTCGTAACTGTCATTTTGCTACTGTTAGGAGTTGTAATGAAAATATTTTTGGACATAGGGGTTTGCCAAAGTGGTCACAACCCACAGGTGGAGAACCTCTAGTCTGGGAAGTCAAAGGAGGGAAAAGGAGAGACACCAATATTCCTTCCTCACCATGGATGTCAGACTTTTAAAAATATTTTACTTCTATGTAAATGGGTGCTCTGCCTTCTTGTATGTGCAGGCCTAGTACCCTCAGAGCCCCTGAAACTGGAGTTATAGGCAGTTGTGAGTCACCATGTCAGTGCTGGGAAGCAAACCTGGGTCCTCTGGAAGTGCACCAAGTGCTCTTAACAGCTGACCCATCTCTCCAGCCCCATGTCAGACTTTTTGTTTTATAAATATACTTATGATAGAACCTTTTTTGTAGATGAGGAAACTGATTACCAGGGAGACCACACAGCTGTTATGTGGATTCAAGGCAGGTGTGCCTGGCTCTGTGCTTTGAGAGTAATATGTATGTAGGCATGTATGTATGTATATGTGTATATATATATGTAACACAGATGTGTCCAGTAACAAAAGGCTGAGTCCCATTTTCAGAGGCTCACAATGTTCTTGCACCTAAAAGGTTAAAGGCTAAAACAGGGGCACCTGTGGTGATCAAGGGCCAGCAAGGTCAAAAGACCAGGTCTAGGTCCCTAACAGATGCCACAGACAGGTCCCAGGTCCCTCTTGGATTTCCTCTTTGCCTCCACTCAGAGCACACTGCTCTTTAGCTCTGAAGCCAGGCTAATAAGAACCTGCTGGTTGAATTCCCATAACGTGACTCATCCCAAAGTCCCTGTTTGTCCCACTCAGAGACTTCCCAGAGCCCTCTCTGCTCCTCCCACTTCACAACTCGGGGCCCCCAGTAACATCTGGCTTTGCTCCATCTGTCTTTCTTTGAAGCACTGAACAAGAAATCCAAGAGGATCAGCAGAAAAGAAGCCGAGAAACGGAAGAGATCGTCCAAGGTAGGCCTGGGAGTTCTCACGGTGGAGTGGGAGACCAGCAAGCCAACGCTGAGCACCAAACGGGAGGTATCTCCAGACCTACATGAAACAAAATAACTGAAAACTTCCTAGCGGTTTCCTGGCCTAGAGCCTTGAGGCAGACTTCCATTCAAGCCAGAGAGCCTAAGTTCACTGAGCAAGACAGCTACCTGCTAAAAAAAAAAAAAAAAAAAAAAAAAAAAAAAAAAAAAAAAAAAAAAAAGTTTCCAGTTCTAGTTAAGCATCCCCACACCCCCACCCCTTCCATTCTTTTGGGTATTTACCTAAACCCCAACCTCCACAGAACCACCCTTGCTGTGTATCTGAGTTTTTTTCCTCCTCCTTTGCAGGGCCTTGTGCAAGCTAGGCAAGCATTCCACCACTGAGCCATGCTCTCAGCCCTAGACCAGCAAGCTTTGCTCTGTAGTCCAGGCTGCTCATAAACTAACGATTGTCCTCGTCCAGAGCTCCCCAAGTGCTGAGATTATAGGTCCAGGCTACTGCGCCCAGCCTTCTTACCTGCTTAAAAATCAGAAAATGCCAAGATTAAAAAATAGAAGTCGGGTGTGGTGGCACACAGCTGCACTCCCAGTATGTGGGAGGTGGAAGCGAGGAAGATCAGAAGTTTACGGCCATCCCAAACTACACGCCAAGTTCTCGATGAGCCTGGGCTGCACAACCACTGAAAAACAGAAGTATGACAGAAAACTAGTATCACTTGCTGTAGCCAGAATAAAAGACTCAATGAAAATAAAACACTGTTCGCTGAACCTAGCAGCACAGGCTTGTAATCTCAGCTGCTCAGGAGGCTGAAACAGGGGGACCCCCAGTTCAAGGGCTGCTGGAGCTATCCAGCAAATTCAAGACCCATCTGGGCAAAAAGACTCTGTCACAAAATAAACATTTTAAAAAGGGTGGGGGTATAGTGAAGTAGTAAAGTTTGCTTACAACAAAAGGCCTGAGTTCAATTCCCACAATGGGAATATATATATTCCCTATGTGTGTGTGTATACATATCACCATATACACATATATATATATCATACATAGTTTTCCTATGCTATGGCCATAGGAAGGGCCTTCCTTGGTGCACTGGAGGATAGTAACTCTAGAGGACAGGGCCGCTAAGGGGAAGAAGGTTATGAGTGGCAGCGGATGACAGGGATGGTGGATGAGACTTGAAGAGAAGCCGGAAGGTGTTTAAACTTGGAGCTGAGTGATCTCCCAAGGGCCAGGTGGGAGCTAGGTGATCCTGAAGATGTAGGCGGTGTGCATGTTGGGGCGGCGGCCAGGGACCCATCAGGATGGCCTGTGCGTATGAGCAGAGCTGGGCAGCAGGGCAGAGATCTCTGGTCCCAGACCTCCACAGCAGATGGGGACGCGTGGGCCCAATGTGGCCCGCTTAGCAGCCCTCGACGTCTCTCCTACAGATGAACGCTTCGCTAAAGAAGGAGGCACGGCCCCCGCCACCCACGCCCTGCGTGGCCACCCGAGACAGCTGCAAGCCGCCTGCGCCCGCCTGCTGCGACCCATGCGCCTCCTGCCAGTGCCGCTTCTTCCGCAGCGCCTGCACCTGCCGCGTACTCAACCCCTACTGCTGAACCCGCTTCCGTGCTGCGCGCGCAGCATCCGGGGGTGGGTGACTGGGCGGGGCTTCAGGGTCAGCGTGGCTTCCAGGCTGAGGGCCGGTTTCTGGTGGGTGGGCATGGCCTGTGGTTGTAGGTGCTGGGTGCTTTCCGAAGACAGATTTTCTAGGAATCCTAATGGAGGCTAAAATCAGAATACAGTATCTTTAGGCTGCTGGGAAAACGTGGCTGTTTCTTTAAAAGAGCCGAAAGCTTCAGACCCCTTTACCGAGCTCTGGTCCTTGCGGGGACCTCGAGGACTGAGCTCGCTCCGCTCTCCAGCCGGTAGGGAAACTTGCGCGTGGTTAGTACCTCTGTCTCACGTAGTGAAGACGATGCTGGCCGACTCCTTCCAGCCTTCCGGTACCGGCTGCCTCCGGACCAGGACAAAGGAACCATTACGGACCGGTCTTGCTTGCAGTCTTTTCACCCATTCTCCTCCTGGGGAGAAGCACAAAAGTCCACGAGCAGTCTCAATCGGGTGGAGGCGGGATCGCGCGTTTGCTGCGGATTTCTAAAGCCAGAAGGCTCTGGGTTGAGGATCCCAGAACTTTTATGAGGCTCCCGAACAAAGGCACTAATGAAATTAACTCCTCCCTGGCTCCCAAGGGCACACAGCTGTTTGGACCTTAGAGTTTTTCTTACGACAGGCATTTTCTTTGTTCAATTCTAATAGCCTAGAGTTTGGACTCCCAAAGAAGCAAAATTTACACACCCTTCCTCGATCTTCACCCTAGTTCCGTGGGCCGATAAGACAGCAGTGTGGAAGTGTGGAGGGGGGTGCTGAAAAGAAGCGGCAGCCACACTATTTTTTTTTTTTTAATTGCCAAAAATGTTCAGACTGTGTCCCGAAATCCCACAGATTCTCAGTCAGTGAGAAGCTGAGGTGCAACGTTGTCCCTTTGGAAGAATCGTGGGAGGGAGAGCACCTGGAGAAAGGAGTCAGTTAGGGGAGCAGGTTCGGTAAGAAAGGACTAGCAGGAAGGGGGCATAAAGAGGAAGGGCTCTAGATAATTTAATGTCACCTACTTGTCCTCGGCTGGGGCGCCTGTGCCATTAGCGCTGGGGAAACGGTTGAGAAGAGCAGAGGGCTCCATCACCCTGAGCTGCCCCCACCCGCAAACTACTACAGTGCAAATTACTACCAAAAGAAAACCAAGAAAAGGGGCCTTGCCAAAAAAGATTCTATAGAGAGACTTTAAGAGAGAAATGAAACCACCATGTAGCTCTCTGTTGGTGGATTAGGAGGGTGCAGACAGGTGTGACCAGATTTTCAGGACTTTGTGTCCGTTTGCTATGGTTCTTTCAAATGCCTTAAACCTGCTGGCAAGATGGCTCACAAGCCTGCCAGTCTAAATTCAATCCCCAGGACCCGTGTAAGGGGAAGGGAAAACAGACCCCTCAGAGTTGACTAACATGCGTCCTCACACATCACACACAGTCTAAAGTGTAAGAAGTGTAAGTTTCACTCCCTCAGATCACCCTCCTTGCCACAGACCTTTTCTCAAATAGAGCCCCAGGTTGTGCCTTTGGTGACATACTTACTCACCTAGTATGGAAATGACAAGGCAAACAGCTACCCAGCCACACCTGACAGAGCACAAGAAAAGGCGGGTGCTCCAGGCAGAGCTGTCCACACAGTGCTGACACTGGGAAAGTCCTTATGTCTGTATCTCTCACTTTATCTTTAAAATGAGAAGTAATTCCAGCTGTTCTTGGTAAAAGTCCAGGAAGTTGCTATTTCTCCATACCTTAGCGCAGCACCATAACACGCCCACGTCCGTGCTCACCCACGTCCGTGCACACCCACGTCCGTGCTCACCCACGTCCGTGCTCACCCACGTCCGTGCTCACCCACGCCCGTGCTCACCCACGTCCGTGCTCACCCACGTCCGTGCTCACCCACGTCCGTGCACATCCACGTCCGTGCTCACCCATGTCCGTGCTCAGAAAAGCTGCCCGTTGTTTGCTTTGTTTTCTGTCACTTAGGCTGCAAGCCCACAAGGCAAGAACATTTTGTTCCTTGTACCACAGCTGCTGCTGAGTAAATGTCATCAGTAATGAGAATATTGGGAACACACTGCAGCAACTGCTCCTGCATTTTCCAGACACTGTTCACCCACCAGGTACTAGTTGGCTCCGGGCAGTGAAACTGGGATGACAAGCTGAGCACTTGGCCCATTTATTCTTGCTTTGTGTGGGTTTGTTTTTGATGTTGTATTTGTTTTGAGACAAGACGTTACTATGTGTAGCTCTAGCTGGCGGTGAATTCATAGAGATCCGCCTGCCTCCACCTCCTACCGCTGGAACTTAAGGCAGATGCCACCACCCCTGCAGCCCACTAGTTACAAAGTCATTGAGTTACTGGTAGACAAGGTGGAAGACCAGTCCAGTGGTTCACTCATTCAGTGTGTGTGTGTGTATTGGCCACCTACTGTATGCTGGGTACTGTAACTACCCTAGTGGAAAACTCCAATGTGGGTATTGTCCCTTAATGGTTTCATGGGTCTGACCACTGATCCTCATAAGAGGTTAAGAATAGTTGTTGTCAGGTGGTGGCATGCGCCTTTAATCCCAGCACTCAGGAGGCAGAGGCAGGCAGATCTCTGTGAGTTCAAAGCCAGCCTGGTCTACAGAGTGAGTTCCAGGACAGCTAGGACTGTTGCACAGAGGAACCCTGACTCAAAAAAACCAACCAATCAATAAATAAAGAAAGAAATAAAGATCACTTGTTAGCCTGTGGGTTCGCTTCCCTCACACTTACTTACTCTTGACTCAGACCCCTAGTTAGGAACTTACCTGGCAAGTTTTCCTTCAGCTTTGAGACCCCAAGTTGTTCTACCTTTTCAGAATTCCTCCATAAGCTTTAGAGTCCACTTTGGTGACAAGAACCAAAGCTAGCATATCAAAAAGTTGTGATTGTATATTATGAGGATATGAGTCCTCTAGTCCATCTCCAACACAATTATATTTTCTCCCCACACACACTCTGGGTAAACTATGTCCTGGAAAGACTTAATTTTTCCATTCATTTCTTCTCACAGCCATAACCTTAAACATGTACACCCAAAGTTCTAATAATGTGACCTTGAACAAGTCACAAGGTTTTTCTGACATGGGGGAGGGAGTGGATATGTGGCATGAATTCTAATTTGCCTTATCAATAAAAACCTGGAATCAGATAGTAGGGGGTGAAAGCTGAAAGACCAGAAAAACAGAGCAGCCAGCCACTAGAGTTTTTACCTTTACGAAATTCTCAGGCATAAAGGGAAAGATCCTGTCTCTACAAACTCAGCTCAGTCTGAATGCCCTGAGCTCCTGTCTCCTCCCACCCTACATTCCTCTCTCCCAGCCATATCTTTTCCTGTCTCTATCTTTCTAGTTCTGGGATTAAAAGCTTCTGACTCCCAAATACTGGGCTTAGAGGTGTGAGCCATCACTGCCTGTCTCTGTTTCTCTTTTACACTGGATCAATCTCATGTAGCCCCAGGGTGGTCTTGAACTCACAATGGGTCTGCCTCTGTCTCCCAAATGCTAGGATTAAAAAGGTATGTGCTACCTAGCCTCTATGGTTAACTAGTGTGGCTAGCTCCACACTCTGATCTTCAGGCAAGCTTTATTTGTTAAAGCACAAACAAAATATTATCACAGGGGGAAGAGGATGTCTCATGTAACCCAGGCTGACGCCATCTAGGCTGGCTTTGAACTTATGATCCTCCTGCCTCTGTCTCCTAAGTGCTTGATGACATACATGCAGAACCCATATGTGGTTTTTGGTGTATGCACTGCTGGGGTCCACTCCAGGGCTTGATGTTTGCTAAACGAGCTCTCCACCAACAGATCTCCCTGTATCCTCAGCCCCAGAAGTTGAAGTCCTAAGTGAGAATCTCATAGAGTGCACATAAAAGCATTTTATCAATATAATGTTATAATAATGCACACAAAACACTGAAATCCACGACTAGATGCCAACATTTGCCCTCCTATATCAGCCTCGTCAACCAGTTTGTCCTTTAGTTTGGTTCTGGAAGAAAGTTTCAATCACCAGGAGACGTAAGGTTTTAGCAGGTCACCCCTTTAACTCAGACGGTCTCCTGTTGAGTGGAAACAGCAGGGGTTATGTCAGAATTTGGTCCAGGTGGGTTTTCAACGTGTCAGACTTTCATGCATAGATTTAAACATGCATGTTTTTAACATCTTTTTAAAGGCTTTGATATTTTTAAAAGAAATTAAGGCTTATGATATCACCAAAGCGGTATACTTAAAAAAAAAACAACAACAACAACAATAGTCTTGGAGGCAGAAGGCCCCAGGGCTCCAGATGCCTTGAACTGTGGACGTTCGGGTTTCAGTCAACCTAACTGGCAATCACTAGGTCCTGATTCTAAACTCTTCCATCTGTTTCAAGATGTGGATCACTACCCACTGACAGGAAATTACCCTTCTCCAAGAGGAGCTTCATAAAGAAACCTGGCTCCCGGAGCCAATTCCCACATGTGGAGGGAACTCGATAAGTGAAGGTCAGAAAGTGATTGCAACCAAATTAGCCAAACCATCTGTAGTAACTTTCCGATTCATCTAGAGACTTTTTACTCTTAGACATGTGTGTTGAAGAAGAGAAGGCAGTTGAAAAGGAATGGGGTGGTTTTTTTGTTGTTGTTTTATCAAGTAAAATATTTCAAAATCATAAAATGTTGCATTCATTCCAGAGGGAACTTCTCTCCTGATAGCTTGCAGGAAAACAGTTAACTACTTGCTATCCCCGCCCCCAGGCAAATCTGGGAGTTGCATCCTGGAGTTAGCTACTGGTGCTGATGAAGGTGCTTCGCGGCCTTCTTGTTGGGGAAGCTCAGCCAACACCCTCCTCCATTTGAGTCTTAAAGGATTTCACACCTTCCAGCCGTCTCTTTAGAATTCCTCTGCCCTGTGGCTGTGTAGACTATTAGAGCAACAGTAAAATTACAGCTACATGAGTCACACTCAGCTTCCGGAGTTCACTACACCACATTTCTAGCAAAATCCCGAAAGCCCTGTGCTTGAGTTGGGGCCAACTTGAATCACGTGCTTATTCTTAAACCAGTTTGTGAAGCTGAAAGATGCATTGATTGGCGTTAGTTGGCTAAGCCTGGATTATGCAAGCACCCCTGGTTGCTTTGCGCAGGTCTGCTGGCTTTGTCTCCCGGGATAGTGTTGAGTCTCTAGGATGAGACTCTGGCTTCCTGGAACTTCAGACCTTCAAGGCAGAACTAAGCACCTACTACCTGCTGCCTCCTGGGCTTTAGTCTAAGCTTCCTCCAGCCAGCTAAGATTGAGGAGTCTCCCCCCAACAGCATACTACCTGGAGGCAGGAAGTACCCAGACCTGCAAGGTGACTTCAGATAAACTGCAGAAGCTCTGG